TTTAGTGCTCCCAAGAAAGGACCGTATGCTTTTATACTAGGTACTGCGAAAGTTTATAGTCCTCCAGCACAAGGGACTTGTGTTACTTAAGCCCGTAGCTCCTTTTAACATGATGGTCTTGTGTTACTTAGGCCCGTAGCCCGCTTTAACACGATAGTCTTTCCAAGAAAGGACCGTATCCTGTTATACTTAGTGCTGCGAAAGTTTATAGTCCTCCAGCACAAGGGACTTTTATACTTGGTACTGCAAAAGTTTAGAGTCCTCCAGTACAAGGGACTTTTCAAGAATGACATCAAAACAAAGCTTATACTTGATACATCAAACAAGCAATTCATTCATGCTTAACAAATACTTTTATCAAGACAAAGCAAAGCAAGATTTATCAAAACAGTATAACATAGCTTTATTAAAAGCACCACTCACATAGATTTCCTCGGGTGTAGGCTCGAAGCAAGGATCAAGGACCTACAATCACATGGCAATCACATTCTCAAAACAAGCTTTATATGCATGCAAATGATCCCGGCATTCTCACCAGATCCAAGTCAAAAGCAAAGCAAAACATGCTGGGAGTTTGAACACTGCTCTCGTCTCATGAAAACACACTGGGTACCAACCAGGTCTTTGCCGAGGCCCTACACCTCCTTGTCGAGGTGTGGTCCTGATGGCCTCATTCAAAAGCAAAGTCGGGAAAACCTGGGTTTCCCTTTGAAGAACAGGAAGAACATGATGAACATGATCATGAGAAAGATGAATGCAAGATCGTAACTAGTTACAAAAATCTGAGATTTCATGCCATGAGTTCAAAATATGGACCTGGGTACCCATACAAGAAGATCATGCAAGAACAAACACGAAAACATGGTTCTGGTTCCAAACTTTCGGATCAAAACGAGATTATAAAAACTAAAACCTTATTTATACAATTCATGCTAAACTGGAAATCAATCACTACAAACTGCCATGTTTTACCTCCAAATGCCCGCAATTTCATTCTACAAACCTCAACCATGGACTACCGATATAATTTACAATGCTGGAAGTGCTCGAGACAAGACCCTTATACAAGAGCAAGAGGAATTTATAGTCAGAGTTGAATACGATAAGGGACCCAATTCATCAGTTAATTAACCAGAATGAGGTAAGGAAAAGAATGAGCACAGGAAAGAGCTACTCGCGGGAATCAGAACCATACCACAATGCGTGGCTGAATATTAATAAATAAAATCAGCAAAGCCAATAGATGTCTGGGCAAAGAACAAACCAGCATTAAAAATGTCTTACAAAACATTTGTAAAGCATTTGGCCGAAAAAGCAAAACTTCAAAAAAAAAAACAAAACAAAACAAAGAGTTTACAAATGTCTTACAAAAACAAACCAGCTATAAAAACTAAAACCTTATTTATACAATTCATGCTAAACTGGAAATCAATCACTACAAACTGCCATGTTTTACCTCCAAATGCCCGCAATTTCATTCTACAAACCTCAATCATGTACTACTGATATAATTAACAATGCTGGAAGTGCTCAAGACAAGACCCTTATACAAGAGAAAGAGGAATTTATACTCAGAGTTGAATACGATAAGGGACCGAATTCATCAGTTAATTAACCGGAATGAGGTCAGGAAAAGAATGAGCACAGGAATGAGCTACTTGCAGGAATCAGAACAATACCACAATGCCTGGCTGATTGTTAATAAATAAAATCAGCAAAGCCAATAGATGTCTGGGCAAAGAACAAACCAGCATTAAAAATGTCTTACAAAACATTTGTAAAGCATTTGGCCGAAAAAGCAAAACTTCAAAAAAAAAAACAAAACAAAACAAAGAGTTTACAAATGTCTTACAAAAACAAACCAGCTATAAAAACTAAAACCTTATTTATACAATTCATGCTAAACTGGAAATCAATCACTACAAACTGCCATGTTTTACCTCCAAATGCCCGCAATTTCATTCTACAAACCTCAATCATGTACTACTGATATAATTAACAATGCTGGAAGTGCTCAAGACAAGACCCTTATACAAGAGAAAGAGGAATTTATACTCAGAGTTGAATACGATAAGGGACCGAATTCATCAGTTAATTAACCGGAATGAGGTCAGGAAAAGAATGAGCACAGGAATGAGCTACTTGCAGGAATCAGAACAATACCACAATGCCTGGCTGATTGTTAATAAATAAAATCAGCAAAGCCAATAGATGTCGGGGCAAAGAATAGGGTTTCAAGTAGCAGATTTAAGTTACAACAAGAGGAACCCGATGAACAGTGAGAAGTGCATAAAGAGAGTAATGCTCATTGGTATTAACTTGAAGAGGGCATTTCTTGATGAGATGCTCACACTCAACTGCCCAGCGTTGATGAATTCATCTTTGGCAGTAGTTATGGAGACATTTACGGACGTTGAACCTGAATAAAAGAAACTCAAATAGGTGATGGCGGTGCAAATAAGACTAGTTTATCCTCCGAAAAAAGATGGTTCTGATGGACTTACAATCATAATTAGTCCACCCGAGCCGTTGGCGAGCTAGATCATAAACAAAAATCTTATCTTTGAGAACAAGATCTGCGCAAAGAAGCCAATTAATTCGTTACTCTCAATATAAAAGGTGAGCATGTACGGCAATGCACGTAAACCGTGCTTCATAATTTGCAATCTTCAATGCTAAATGAAACATAAAATTGGTGAAATTAAGATGACAATTTGCATTGATGGACTTCTTTTAGGGGTGGGGGTGGATGGAATAATGAAATATATATATATATATATATATGCATGATTGCGTGAGTGTATTTATATATAGATATTCTAATAGCATATAATGTTGAAAGAACTTTAACACGCACAGAGACAGGGGAACATATGCACAAGAATGAAGAGTTTCTGCAGAAAAAGCTTGTTGGTCTTAAGAATGCTTAAAGACCAAAAAGAAGAAAGAGGTCATATTGAACAAAATGACATGTCAAACTGCAGATATTTTCTTTCCAAGTTAATGATGCTTGTAATATATAATACCATGTATATAGATGCATACATAGATACGTAAACATGCAAAAACTTGAGAATACTACACACACACACAAAAAGAAAGAGGAAAGGAAGATGTTACAACAAATAAAGGTACAATTTTACAAAAAATAAAACCGCCTAACAATGTGCAAAGTGCTACAAACTACTAATAAAAAGAAAAATAAAGCATGGAAATAGCAGCATCAAAATCCTCGGGAGCGGGAACGAGAAGCACGTCTAGTCCTCTTTTGCGGGACAACCTCCACACCATCGTCAGAGTCGGAGCTGTCATCCTCAGGATCCTCCTCAGCCTCGCCTCTGTTCCCCGAGCCAAAACCGGAGCCTCCCTCCTCAACAGATGTCTCGAACTGACGGTCGGTAGCCTCCTCCTCCTCCTCCTCCTCCACCTCCACAACATGAGCCCTGCGTCTGCGGACAGGCCCTCCTCGAGCTCCTCGAAAAGGCCTAGATGGCCCGGCTCCTCGGGAAGGCCGAGATGACCCCGCCCCCTGATAAGGCCCGGATGGCCCAGCTCCCCAAGGAGGCCC